CATATTCTTTTATTTCAATTTAAATATGTTTTTGTCTTCAAATTATTTATTAAAATTTTATTTTCTTCATGTTTAAAATAAGTACTAATTTCATTCCTACATTTTATAAAGTAATACAAAATATTCTTGTAAGCAAATGAATTCTAACGATCATAAAGTCTACTCTCCTGTTTGCATCTCTCTTTTGTATTTCAAAAGTATAGTTTTCAATTTGGGTTGATGTGAGTGATTAGAAGTCACAAATATAATTAAGTGGTTATAATTTCAATGTCTTAAAGAGAGAAAAGATGTTAACATATTCAATATCTTTCAATAAAAATTATTCGGTATATACTCTGTAATAATAAAATAAATACAGTAATAAACACTTCTTTCTTGTGAAATGCTCATAGTTTTTTTATTAAAAAAATGTTTGAGTGTGTCAAACATAAATAATGTTTATAAATCGTATTTAAAAAGTTTTCCTTATTTTTTTTTAAATATAAAAGGATATAATTTTAAATTCATTAATAAAGTTAAAATCATCGTGTGTAATTCGATTTATTTTAATATTTTAATAAAAAATAATTGTTCACAAAACAAGGTTATGTAAATTTATGGTACACAAAAATATCTAAAAATGATATTATTATTGATGAGAAGAAGAAAAATGTGTTAAGATTGACTTGTGAAGAGACTTGGCTACGAGCATGGAAAAGTAAGATTATATATAACTTTATAAGTAAAATAAAAAATAAAAAATATTCTCAAATCCAAAATAGGTTTTCAAAAACCCTTTATTCTCAAAAACTTCAACAATACCTTCACTCAAAGTGGTTATTTAGTTTAGATAGAAAAAGAAAATAGGTTTAAATGTTTATTTCGTCTTCGTATTAAAAGGTGAATTTTTGTTTAGTATTCGATTTTAAAAATAAAGATATTGAGTCTCTATGTAGTGAAAAATGTATGAATAAGGTCATGTCCGTTAAGTTGACAGCAACGTTGTTAAATTTATGCTGATGTGGTCGTATTTTTTTTCTTTTCTCTTTTCCTGTTCAACTTTTTTTCTCTATTGTTCAGTTTTTTCTTTGATGATTTGTTGAATTTATTTTTTTTTTATCTTATTCGTATATTTTTTATAACATAGAGACTTAATATCTTATTTTTTTTAAATCGAATACTAAAATGAAATTCACGTAAGTAATTTTTAAGAAAAAAATAATAATAATGTTTCGAGAAGAATGGAGATAGAGGAGAAGTGAAAGAAGAATGGGTTTGGGGTGACAGAAATGGCAGGACTGAGAGAGAGCACGTGGGGTGATTGCAGACATGACATTAGTCAGAACCAAAACCTAAACATCAACAGTTGTAGGACCTCTTCCTCTTTCGACCCTTCCATTTCTTACTACTATTTTCCTTCTAAATAATTATGTGCTTAAGGAAAATAAAAAAGACACTTTAAATAAATGAAATGAAGAACAAAAACTGTGAATAATTCATGACTTTCCATTATAGACAGTTAATTTGCTATTCAGATTTCATTCATTCAAAAGACACTTGCCACCATATTCTTCACCTAAATTCTTTCAGTCATTCAAACAAAGTCAAAAGACAAAAACTGAACATCGCCATTAAAACCGAATTACAAGACAATCAAATTAAATGCAAACTCAAGACTCTAACGTCTCTTTCTTCACAAAGAAAAGACAAATAACCATGACTAATTATTTTCAAAATTAATTTTAATTTCTTTTCTTCTTTATAATATTTTTTACCAATAAATATATTATTAATAAATATAATTTATATTGTTTTTATCATTAAGATATTTCGATAATATTTATTTTCTATCAATTAAAACATTTTTTTAATCTAATAAATTGATTAAATTTTTCACAAACTTTACTTCCAAATCTACTCTCACTTACTTCCAGATCCACTTAAATAAACAATAATTAATTAATCTCAAATCTCTTCAAATTCATTCACTCACTCTTCTTCAAATCATTCTTCCAAAGCAAACATACCATAGAAGTCAAAAGTACTAAAAAAATATAGAACATCAATTTCTTAGTATAATATACCTAACAACTCATCAAACTTTCACTTGTGATAAAAACATTTAAAAATAAGTTCTTATACCAATATCATCGTCGCGGTCAATATATAAGTAATTATGAAAGGACAAGCTAATGTAAATAAAATATTGTACCATCATTTATCATTACACATATGTGATATAATTTAGAGGATTCAATTTAATATTGAGTTTTTTTTATAATTTTTATTATGCTTTTAATTAAAAGAATAAAAGACTGTACTTGACAAAATACGAGGAAAGAAAGTCTGTATTGATTTCCATAATAAATACATGAAAATATATTATCTAATATTATTTTGGGTTAAATATAACTGTAATATTTAAACTTTTATGTAAAGTTGTATATTTTTTATATCTCCAACTTTTGAATCAATTTTTTCCTTAAACTTTTATTAATGAATTTGATATAGTCATTCTACCTAGACATAAAAAAAATATTAATGATATAACAAACGATTTTCAAGAGTAGTTATACCAAGCCAATTTATAATATATAAGTGAATACAAACCTTATCTTATAAGTCGATTTTGTGGAGCTAAGTTAGGCTTAAAATCCACTCCTTAACATGAAATCAGAGCTATGGTTAGAATCTATCCTAGCGATATTTATTTTTTGTTGAGCATATTGTTCGAACCGTTATCGGATCACTTGACTATATCAAACCATATAAACATATATGTTCAATATATACATGTACATTAAACTATTCAACTACGATTCACCACCCACAAAACATGTGTATATCATGCATACACCATTTCATGCATCTCAACTCTATGCTTTCTAATATCATCAAAACCAATATTCTTATGCATTTAAACCATTGCAATCCAACAATCTCAATATATGATTTATTTATTTTAAAGTTCCATGTAAGTTATACATCGAAATAACAATCTCATCAGATTTAGTTTTTTCTACTATATTAAAGAGTGTTTTACATAAAAACTACTACATAATCCCTTCTAATAACTTAATCGAATGAAACAAACTTTTAAAGAGTTAAATACACTTGTAGTATCCAAAATTTGAATATAAAATTAAAATTCATCTGTCCTAAACTAATACATTTTAATCCTAAACTTTAAAAATAAATAAATATGATCATCTTAATTTGTTATTCTTTTTATTAAATAATATTCTATATTAACATTTGAGTTGAAACGTATCAAAAGTGAAAACAATTTAAATGTTAGTCTAAAATGTTGGTTGATACATAAAAAAATATAATACAACTAAGTTACAACAACTATATCTATTCATTTTTTAAATTTTAAGATTAAATTATATTGCGACAACACGACGAATTCTAATTTTTTAGTCATAGTTAAAAGATTAAAAATATATATATCCAACTTTTAAAAAATCAAAAGTGATTGTATCTATCAAAATCAAGTTTAAAATAAGACATATACTCCTTCATCTCATAAAAAACTTTAATATTATAAAATATTTGGTTATCTTATTGTTTCAAAGTATACCAAATAAGAAAAGTTTTTTTAAAACTATAAATTGTAAAATAAATTAAAATGATTATCCAACTCCTATTGATAGATTCAATTTCCCGTTCACTTAAACTTTATTATTAAAATAATATTGAAAAAAATTCTTTATAATTTTAGAGTTTTTAATTTAACTCAATTTTAATGTTGACCTCAATATCTTATAAGTTTGAGTTTTACACCTCCCAAAACAGCTCTTTCTCATGCAGAGGAAAGAGATCTTAGACACGAAGGGACAAGGGAATTTCATTTACAGGCAATAATCATAGATGGCGAAGTCACAAAAGCATATGAACGAATGTGCCAAAAGAAGAAGAAAATTCTAAAGGGTAAATGAAGGAAAGTGACACTGATGACCCCATACTCTACCTAATCACGTGCAGAATAATTTTTTGTTTTTTCATTCTCTCTATTTCTCATCATAAATTATAAGTAGTTTTTCTAACACTTTTTTTTTCAAATATTCTTTAATATGTATTAGTAGTTGTTGATATATGAATATTAGAGAAGAGAAATTGGTATGGTGATGTGTGGAGTAACTAAACATGATGGATAAAAGAAGACTAATGCTTAGTTATTTTGTACAGTGACTTCATACAAAAAAGAAAAAAAGAAAAGGTAAAATTGCTAAAACGTAAAAGTGAAGGAAATACTAAAGAAATACCTCTCTGTTCTCCCTCAAATATTTTATTGGTTGTGGAATGGCTCATCGCAGCATTTCCAATCCCAGATAAGACAGTAACCCAAAGAAGAAACCAAAAGCTTTGGCGTAGGTGACAGGTTGTATTATTCTCACACAAAAATGTTTTCAGCCTACCCAAAACTCATTTCTTCTGCATGGCTGTCATGTGATCTACCAAATAAACAATAACCTGCCATGTGAAGTCAGGAAAATATTGACTGGAAGGAATAGAGATACATTGAAAATGACAAATTTCCGAGAGACATGAAACTGTGGGAAAAAAAAAGACCAATTCATAATACTGTTAAACATAAAATAACTATAATAAAAATGTGATATCCATAAAAAAACAGTCAAATTAAGAAGACTTAACCATTGTATGACGACAAAACTGAAATATTAACTTTATAATATAAAGGTTTATTTAATATCCTTAACGTTAAGAAAACAGATCAAACTCACAGACAGTAAACCCTAAATTATATGTTCAATCTTAAAAAAAATTCAAGAATTGCCAAAACACACTAATAAATTACACAAGATCAAGCATATTATTTCCCCTTCCAACTGGTTGCAAGTTTTCCAGGTTAATTCAGAAATCAATATGGAGGTACTCGGAGTTTAAAGATCCCAACAACAATCACTAGCAGCCATCTCATGCAATTTCATATCCATAACACTGTAATACAAAAAGTTAATTTTTTTGCATTAAACAACAAGAACGAAACGGCCATGTTCATAGTAGACAAGTAGAATTTTAACGCATTAGAGATAAGAAATATATACAAAGAGAAGAGCGTAAGGTACACAAAAAACCTGTTTAATTATCAAAAGCAACAAATTGTAAAACTTAACAGAAAGTAAATTGAGATAGAACTGATCCTGGGAGGTGAATTGCAATGGTTGCCTCTGTATCACATCAATTCGAGCATACAAATCCTTCTCCGTATTAGAAATATGTTCATTCTGATGTTCCTATCAATCGGAACCATCTGGGAAATGGTCCAGCGCATCCTGCTTCCCATTAGCATAGAATTCAACTATTGCCTTCATCCTCTCAAACTTGTTAGGATGGTAATTAACATGTATAATCACAGGCTTCAGCTTCTTGAGTTTAGCATCTTTTCTGACAGTCTTAAAGAGAACTTTACTGTTCATAAAAAGGTACATATCCATCGTCCTTTTTGCAGCATGAAGTCCTTCGTAACCAGGATGAGAAGGGAAAAAGAGCTCCTCGTTGAAAACTGCCTGATCCCACGCTTTTGGGTCATTGGAGAGCCGGTTAGCAACACGATCCAAGAGCTCAATTGAAGGAATAGTTGGCCTTATGTAAAAGAAACCAGAGTTATAAACCCATATTCTCATGGTATGAGCGTACCGAGCCCAACCCATTGAGGGTTCATCAAAGACATCATTATACCCGTAAGCTGTCATGTTATTGTGACCATCAGACATAGACTCCACATCTGAATCCCTATAGAGATAATCGAACGGGTTCTGCAAGTACACAATGTCTACATCCGAGAGGAGAACACTGTAACCCAGTTGCAGAAATTCTCTCAAAATACGAAATTTCAATCCCGAAACAGCATGGTTACCACCAATCTTACCGACTGCATCAACACCTTGATCAGGATCTCTTCTATACACAGGAACATCATTGGATTTGCAGAACTCTTCAATGTTATCATCTAAGGCAACAACCAAATAATTAGGAATGCCAGCCTTCTTGATGTTGGTGAACCATAGCTGCAACATCTCCTTCACATTAGAGTTAGCAAGGCCAACGATTATCTCTTTATAAATAGCAACTTCCACCAAGATTTTGGCTAATCTGGGGTTCACAGATTCATCAGGAATGACGGGTGGATTGGTTCTGAGAGCCTTGACGGTTCCAAAGGGCCCAGCCTTGTGTCTTTCACCAAGAACAAGAAACTGTTCCTGTGCATGGCCCTTTCCTTGCTCAGCCAAACGCAGCTTCTCCATAAGATCCTTCACCTGCTTCTTCAGCTCGGAATTTTTCTCTTTTGCTGATAGAATATCAACTTTAAGCGCATTAACTTGTTCTGGAGATTCGCACGCAGATGAAACCGTCTAAAATCAACAGTAACAATCAATATTCTTCATACACATCCTTCTACATAGTAAGCGTTCTACTTGATATATTTTAAGACATTAATTGCATTTAGTTTGTTATTAATGTTTCCTTTACTTAGTAGTATTACGAGAATAAATGAGTAATACACCAAAATGACAAGGACAGGTTAACTTAATTCCAGATATTAAAAATAAGGAAATTTAATCAGACTTTTGAAATTATTGTTCAATCTAGTCTCTAAAATTAATACAACCAGTGAATTTGGTCGCCAACTATACAAAATCAATCAATTTAGTTCTTCTTGAATTTGATAACCGCACATCCATTTGGCCCCTTGTGTTAGAGACACCAAAACTGAAGCACAACAAAATCAAGTACTGGGAATCAAATTGGTTGATGTAGCATAAAGAAGGGACTAAATTGATTGATGCACAACGAAAGTGAAGAGCCAACATAACACAGTTACCAAAGTTAAGAATTAAATTGAGAGATCATTGATACTAATAACTAAGACGACTAATTATCAAAATGGTGTATACACTAATTAATCAATTATAAATTGTCATGCATGATAAGATTGTTAACTATTACAGTAAAATACCATTTTTTAGTCCTTGGAAAATTGTAAGTATTCTCATATTAGTGTCTCTTGAAAGTTCCAAATTAAATAGAAATAAGGTCAATTTATTATATATAAATTGATATAAGTTTATTCTTTCAAACTGTTTTTGTAAGATTGAGTTAAACGTAAAAGTTCACAGTGTATCAAAATTATTGGTTATAACCTATCCTAACAATGTAATAAGCCCCAAACATTTTTAACACTCTCTCACTTAAAAATATGTTCGATAAATTACACTTTTTGGAACCTTGTTAGAATTTTCTTATTTTAGAGACCAATATCATAACACTTAGTTTTCAGGAACTCAAAAGATGTTTCATCCCAGTAATTACTTTAAAAGTCCAAGAGTGATTAGTTCACAGTGTAAGAGCACAGAATCTAAACTTTAAAAAAAAAAATTGTAAATTGAGAGCTGAGTGGGTAATTTAATAAAAAATAAATTTGAACCATATAACATCAGTCCTAATCCTGCAAAGAGTAAAGAATCACTTTAGTCACTGGAACTGGTAGGTCATGTCATGTCATATTAACTTCCGAAATTCAAAATATGTTAAACAAGTCCCAGAAATGTCTAGCAAATTTCGAAATTTCATTACGTACTGTGATTTTAATCCTAAATATATGTTAATACAATAAATTTAGTGACACTAGATCATTTGAATTTTGAACTAATTTGATCATCATTGCTAATTTCCTTCAGTTCAAGGACTAATATAATAGCATGTGCGAATTCCGGTAACAAAATAGCCATTGACTCGTAAAAGAAATGAAGGGATAAAAAAGAGAAAGAGGAAGATGAATGAAAACCTTGGGATGGCGAATGAGAGTTGTGGGAGCGGCGGTGAAGAGGCCATTGGGAGACAAGAAGGCGAAGATGCAGCCGATGAGAACACCGACGACGACGGCGGCGACGATTCGAGATCCGACGGATGATTGGGCTTTATCTCTTGTGAGCAATGCGTCTCTCCGACCCACCATGCTGCGTCTCTCTATCAGATCCAATTCGAAACCCTAAACGGAACGAAAAGAAATTCAGATGTCAACTCACAAGGTTGAAGGAGCTGTGGCAGCTGGCAGAGAGTGGAGAAGAAGTGTTAAGTATTTGTTTCTCTGACTTTGACACTTTCAATTGTTATTAATGTAATCCATGACACTTTCAATTCTTATTGTTACTATTAGTCTCTCATTATTATAACCAACCATATTCTCCCATTATTATACATATAAAAAAACAATATATGTGTAAAAAATTAACTTCTTACTTTTATATATATATATTGGGTGCTAGCGCTTTTTGAGACTAGAAATCAGGAATTCAACAGATCCTTCACTGAATACTTCTATTGTTTAGACTTACAGGGATGATTGGAACTTCCCATGCACGATATTTTGGCCAATTTGCAATTTTACCTTCTGTAGTGTTGAGCCACCAGTGCACCAGGAACCATGTGGTCAAACCAACAACTTTTAGTTGATCACTTCATTTTACTCTGGTGAAAATCTCCTGGCTTGAAATGTTCTTTATATATATAATTAGCAGATAATATAATGTAGCTTGACCATAAAAACCTTTGGGGGTGGTTGTGGTTTGTTAAAGGATTTGAAGAAATGTTTCAGATAAGTCTAGGTTGAGATGGTGTGATGTACAAGTTGATTCATGGAACGTGTATATATAAGATTATGATCAGAAGCAACAAGTAACACTACTCAACCCCATGTTTCTGAAAAGAAATGAATTGAAACATACATATCACTGAAAACTTGAAGAAATGCTTATCGAATATGCATTTTTCTGCTTGCACATTCTTTTCTTTAGTACAAATAAGATAGCAGAAATAGTAAATGACAAGACCATCAAAATCAACAAAAATGTAACCCTAATTCGTGATAGGGAACTGAGATAACACTCCATTATTTGCTATGTTCACAACATTGACAGCAAGAATTAACCTCATAGAAGTCAATAGACTCGGTACTTAACTCCTCCACCTCGAACAAATATATTTCTGCCCTAACTGGACTAACAAACCAAGCATAATAAGGACGCCTGTGACCTAAAAATGTTAACTTAAAAACATGTCACAACCGTTACAAAAGTAATTATATACAGAGGGCACAACAAAACGGGATTATGCATCTGCTGAGCCAGTAACGTATGAAACTACAACTGTGGTATCATCAAGCTTGCCACCGTAGTAACGGAAACCAGCATCTTGAGCAGCGGTTGAGAAAGGAGTCTGTCTGTCTTTATCAAGTGCTCGTTGACGTGCCAATGCAGCTATCTTCTGGGCTGTAACTTGAGGACCTAATCCCGCTCTCATGGCGTGAACCACCACTGCCGTAATCTCATTATTGTACAAGTTATCAAACAGCCCATCTGTACCAGCAACTATGACATCCCCAGGTGCAACAGGAATGGTAAAAACCTAACATAAATAAAGTAAACCATCTAAGCATCCTACTAGTAGAAAAAACTTAGATGCAGAAAATCAACCCTCACAAAAAACTGAATGAGTTTATTCTCCAATCATCATCAAGAATAATCTAAAATCAAGTTTGACTACAAGTTCAAAGTTGAATTCTTAATGTAGAGACAGGTATATCGGCAGGAAAAAGAATACCATAGTGCATAAACGAGACAAAATAGGGCAGAAAATCATGTAGTAAAGTTCTATAGAAGAAACAAGCAGTCTCTCCCAGAAACAAAGAAGAACTGAGACTTCAAATACAAGCCAGCCACTAACAATTATATCAGCAGCCGAATATTGATTCATGAAAAATAAAATGCGAATATTGGTGCAACCAGTTGGGGATTGCAAAATATGGCAGAAAGCCAATAATTAGATATGCCATATAGCTGACAGCATCATGGGCATATAATGGAAGACAATAGTTGAAACCGCAGGAGGAGGATCCAGGACGCATGCTGCAACTATAGTGGATGCAATAGTGCACCGAGTCACATTTGCTTGTCTGGGAAATTCTACTACGAAATGGAGTCATAAAACCCCCTATAATGGCTATTAAACAAAATTGGCATACATAATAAGCTTGACTCCACAACAATAAATTGAATGGAACTGTTAGAATCTAGACTCTTTCTTTTTCGCATGCATGCTTATTTATTATCCAGACATGTGAGTTTTGTCCCTCTAATAACCACCATCGGATCTAGATGAATTCTGATTAAATTTTTCTTCCTTTGCAGTACAAATCATGAGTAATGCCTTGATCGACTATGTTTGATGTTTTTAGACAATGTTCTCTCTTTTTTTTCATCTAAGTCCCAATATTTAAGATATGTATTAATGCAGTCACCGAAGTTCACTGTTGCCTAAATCCACTGTTGCATAAATCGGATTACTACTAACATTAGATTATTGGTTCAGCCTGACTTGGTGATTACAAATTCAGTTGTAGATCAAATGTAAAGTAATGAACAGTCTCTAGTCTGTAACAATTAATTGAATACAAATGTAACATTAAAAGACTAAATTGAAAAAATTTAAAAACACTGGACTAAATTGAATAGTCGTAAAAAACAGTGTTTATAAACTTCATTAACATAAATAATATATATTTTTATATATATAAAAGAACTATTCTGAGACAAGGTTTAAATCTTACAGTAGATATACAGAAGGGAATGTTAGATTTTTACGAATTAGAAATTAAATATAGAGAAAAAATACCATAAACCTTTGTATACATTTGTTATATTAATTATATATACAATGACCATATTAGAAGATATAAACGAGTAGCAGATGCAGTAGCAAACATTTTTTCATAAATCAGATAAGCGCACTACTATTCAGTGTGTGTGCAGAAAATATACTCTTCATTGACCAATTTAATCTGATTCTCCCAAAGATAAAGCCCAAAAATAGGAAAATACCTGACCAGAACTAGGTAAATCANTATTGTTACTATTAGTCTCTCATTATTATAACCAACCATATTCTCCCATTATTATACATATAAAAAAACAATATATGTGTAAAAAATTAACTTCTTACTTTTATATATATATATTGGGTGCTAGCGCTTTTTGAGACTAGAAATCAGGAATTCAACAGATCCTTCACTGAATACTTCTATTGTTTAGACTTACAGGGATGATTGGAACTTCACATGCACGATATTTTGGCCAATTTGCAATTTTACCTTCTGTAGTGTTGAGCCACCAGTGCACCAGGAACCATGTGGTCAAACCAACAACTTTTAGTTGATCACTTCATTTTACTCTGGTGAAAATCTCCTGGCTTGAAATGTTCTTTATATATATAATTAGCAGATAATATAATGTAGCTTGACCATAAAAACCTTTGGGGGTGGTTGTGGTTTGTTAAAGGATTTGAAGAAATGTTTCAGATAAGTCTAGGTTGAGATGGTGTGATGTACAAGTTGATTCATGGAACGTGTATATATAAGATTATGATCAGAAGCAACAAGTAACACTACTCAACCCCATGTTTCTGAAAAGAAATGAATTGAAACATACATATCACTGAAAACTTGAAGAAATGCTTATCGAATATGCATTTTTCTGCTTGCACATTCTTTTCTTTAGTACAAATAAGATAGCAGAAATAGTAAATGACAAGACCATCAAAATCAACAAAAATGTAACCCTAATTCGTGATAGGGAACTGAGATAACACTCCATTATTTGCTATGTTCACAACATTGACAGCAAGAATTAACCTCATAGAAGTCAATAGACTCGGTACTTAACTCCTCCACCTCGAACAAATATATTTCTGCCCTAACTGGACTAACAAACCAAGCATAATAAGGACGCCTGTGACCTAAAAATGTTAACTTAAAAACATGTCACAACCGTTACAAAAGTAATTATATACAGAGGGCACAACAAAACGGGATTATGCATCTGCTGAGCCAGTAACGTATGAAACTACAACTGTGGTATCATCAAGCTTGCCACCGTAGTAACGGAAACCAGCATCTTGAGCAGCGGTTGAGAAAGGAGTCTGTCTGTCTTTATCAAGTGCTCGTTGACGTGCCAATGCAGCTATCTTCTGGGCTGTAACTTGAGGACCTAATCCCGCTCTCATGGCGTGAACCACCACTGCCGTAATCTCATTATTGTACAAGTTATCAAACAGCCCATCTGTACCAGCAACTATGACATCCCCAGGTGCAACAGGAATGGTAAAAACCTAACATAAATAAAGTAAACCATCTAAGCATCCTACTAGTAGAAAAAACTTAGATGCAGAAAATCAACCCTCACAAAAAACTGAATGAGTTTATTCTCCAATCATCATCAAGAATAATCTAAAATCAAGTTTGACTACAAGTTCAAAGTTGAATTCTTAATGTAGAGACAGGTATATCGGCAGGAAAAAGAATACCATAGTGCATAAACGAGACAAAATAGGGCAGAAAATCATGTAGTAAAGTTCTATAGAAGAAACAAGCAGTCTCTCCCAGAAACAAAGAAGAACTGAGACTTCAAATACAAGCCAGCCACTAACAATTATATCAGCAGCCGAATATTGATTCATGAAAAATAAAATGCGAATATTGGTGCAACCAGTTGGGGATTGCAAAATATGGCAGAAAGCCAATAATTAGATATGCCATATAGCTAACAGCATCATGGGCATATAATGGAAGACAATAGTTGAAACCGCAGGAGGAGGATCCAGGACGCATGCTGCAACTATAGTGGATGCAATAGTGCACCGAGTCACATTTGCTTGTCTGGGAAATTCTACTACGAAATGGAGTCATAAAACCCCCTATAATGGCTATTAAACAAAATTGGCATACATAATAAGCTTGACTCCACAACAATAAATTGAATGGAACTGTTAGAATCTAGACTCTTTCTTTTTCGCATGCATGCTTATTTATTATCCAGACATGTGAGTTTTGTCCCTCTAATAACCACCATCGGATCTAGATGAATTCTGATTAAATTTTTCTTCCTTTGCAGTACAAATCATGAGTAATGCCTTGATCGACTATGTTTGATGTTTTTAGACAATGTTCTCTCTTTTTTTTCATCTAAGTCCCAATATTTAAGATATGTATTAATGCAGTCACCGAAGTTCACTGTTGCCTAAATCCACTGTTGCATAAATCGGATTACTACTAACATTAGATTATTGGTTCAGCCTGACTTGGTGATTACAAATTCAGTTGTAGATCAAATGTAAAGTAATGAACAGTCTCTAGTCTGTAACAATTAATTGAATACAAATGTAACATTAAAAGACTAAATTGAAAAAATTTAAAAACACTGGACTAAATTGAATAGTCGTAAAAAACAGTGTTTATAAACTTCATTAACATAAATAATATATATTTTTATATATATAAAAGAACTATTCTGAGACAAGGTTTAAATCTTACAGTAGATATACAGAAGGGAATGTTAGATTTTTACGAATTAGAAATTAAATATAGAGAAAAAATACCATAAACCTTTGTATACATTTGTTATATTAATTATATATACAATGACCATATTAGAAGATATAAACGAGTAGCAGATGCAGTAGCAAACATTTTTTCATAAATCAGATAAGCGCACTACTATTCAGTGTGTGTGCAGAAAATATACTCTTCATTGACCAATTTAATCTGATTCTCCCAAAGATAAAGACCAAAAATAGGAAAATACCTGACCAGAACTAGGTAAATCACCATTCCTACCACATTCCAGCTGATAGGTGAAATTGAAATCATGTTGCTGCACTGGGGACCGGAATACGGTGCACCCATCCCGGACTACCATAAATCCACTGTCTCCTAAATTGATAGCATTAAGGCCCTGAGCAAGAAACACACAATAATGAATATATGTTAAGAATGAAACAAAAACAACTCTTTCATAATTGCATAATAACATAGCAAAATTATTTACTTAAAAATTTAGAATAGAATATTTGTAAACAAGAAAAATCACAAGCCCTCAAGTAAAATATAAAATGAAGAAAAGCAGGAAAAAAAGAGTCCAGGTTCAGGAAGGAACATCGTTTGGAAATTACTAGGCAATGTTTTATATGCAAATAGAATGGAGTGGAGTGTGTGTTGCTTTATTCTTTCTTGTTCCACCCTTTAACAAAAATGCACCATTTTTATGTCCAGTTCTATTTTCTTTCCAAAATGTAACAACTCATAATATTTGACCCTATTTGAAGTAGTCTACCCCTGATGCTAGTATGCTACCGTAGTAAATTACTCAACAATCTCGACCATGGAGCTTCATATTAGGGAATCTTATGCTTAGATGTATCCAATGCTAATGCTAACAAAATTATATTTCAGAAAATTAACTGTCACAACTTACAAGCACATAAAAAGCCTTTTAAAAGTGATTTTTAACTATTACAAGCACACTGAGGACTACTTTTACCATAAATTATTTAAGACAGCATTTGGCTATGTAAACTGGAACTTTTGCATCATAATTCACTAACGTATGTTAAAATGCACTAGGTCACAAGATCTATAAAGATCTAAGATTATTGCTTTGAAAATTCTCCACATAATTAAGTTACCAGAAAAAAATAAGCTGAAAGGCTTTTACCATAAAGATCTAAGACTATATATGGGTTTTCCACAAATGAATGCTGTGGAATGAAGAAAATAAGCTGAAAGGGTTAAATTAATCACCGGAAGAACATTGGACAGTAGAAAAAAGATACTCAAAATATCAATGAAAAAGGAAGCAAAAACTAAGGAAGTTAAATTCAGTACTACAGTAATATATGTCAAAGTTATGGCGCATAAGCTGCTA